TAATTTTGGGTAAGGGAGACACCTAGAGGGGGCTCTTAATGGCTTCTAGTTTATAGGATAAAATTGGTGTCTGAATGCCCAAATTTGCGACTTAAGGGGACTGAAACCTTTAAAGACAATTAGGCAAGTTGAATTTAGGTGGCAAAAAAGTCACTACAGGCTTTATTTACATGCTAGTGTGGAAGTCACGATTGTATTAAACATATTCACAGAGGACCCTATGTTAGTGCAGTATCTCAAAAGTCAAAGGAGCACTTTCTGCCTTAGTCTTATATGTCTGGACTTTTTATAAATTAAGGAAATTCAGAAAGATGTCACATCCCAAGGGTCCTTCAATGAAGATCTCCAAGCACCTACATGCTCACACTAGCCTCTGTGGAATGTTCCTTACTATGTCTAACCTGGTTGAGACTATTGTAAGAAGGCCTTGCCTTGTCGTAGGCTGACCTAGATGGCTACATGTGAGTGCAGAGTGTCAAGGTTACAGAATGCTTTCCAGGTGGGAGGACTGAACTGTCACCATCAGGATATATTCTGGTAGGGCTGTACATGTAGGGGGGGTTCATATCAGCATCATGCATTGTTCAATACAGAAGCCATTTATCTTTACAACAAAAATCCTTTGAGCACCTCCTGTATGCCAGATACTGTTCTAGAAGCTAAGCACACAGCTTCAAAAAGACAGATGTAGGAGAGATAGACAACAAACCAAAAGTGTAATTATTGGTTAGCTATTGATACATAACAAACCACCCCCCAAATTTAGAACAATCATTTATTTTTAGCTCACATACCTGTGAGTCAGCTGATCTGGATGGTTTGTTATGTATCAAAGCTCTGTTGGCTTTGCTCAAGTTTCTCTGGGTCCATGGAGGTGCTCGTCTGCCCTCCTACGACCAGTGAGCTAGTCCATGAATGTTTTTTTGAGGCATTGGTAGAGAACCTAGTGAGAGGAAGCTGAAATGCACAGGACCCCTTGGAGCCTTGGCTTTTAACTGGCACTTTATCACTTTTGCCTCATTCCATTGGCCACACCAAGTTCATATGGCCAAACCCAAGGTCAAGGGGTAAAAGGTGTAGATGCAGGTTGGAGTAAAGAATTGAGACAATAATGCAAGTAACCACTTATGGTATAAGGCCAAATAACAGAAAGGGCAATGAAGAAACATAAGGCAGGTTCATGGCTCAAGCAGATCAAGGATGCAACTTTTGGTAGCCAGGTATTATGGGATGGTGTATTGTCATAACCTTGGGTGTTTTTAGCAGGCTATAGACATTGAGGGGGGGTAGCTTCAGCATTATGTTATGCTATAATGCTGTATGGGATGGACTTCCCTCCCTGCTCTCCAAGTATCAAGTGCCCCTGCACACCTGATAACTATTGAGTCTCATAAGGACATCTGTCCAGTTTATCACTATTCTATTCAAATGCCTGATCACAGCAGCAAATTTAAAGGGTACCACGATTTGACTAAATTATCTCTGTGGGATGATATCCCAGTTGCTCCTTTCCACACACGCACATTCATGTGCCTGTATAGATGACACACAAGCACTGCACACACCCACACAGCCACCTCCACACACTCAGAAATCATGTCTTCATCCACATCAGTCAATGAGAGGAAAGTCTCAATCCCTGGAACCTCACCAAAGAGCTGCAGACTGTTGGGTGATGGTTCCACCAGCTCCACAGCCAGGCTGATGTGCTTTGAAAAGGAATGTGGACCTGGAATGTGTCTGAACACAGACATGGCTTCTGGGTAACCCACAGCTGCAAAAGCTGCTGGGGCTCTTGGAGGGCTGTAGTGGGGGAGGTAGAGCAGGGGTAGTTGGGAGGTGGATTTTAGCTTCAGTATTTTGTTGCCACCATCAATCAATCAGCCAAAAACCCCTCATTAGGAAGCTGAAGGGAGAACACAGCAAAACAAACAAATGGATTTCTTCTTCAGAAACCTGTTATCACTGGAATAAAATGACTTTTCTTCTATTTTTGTTAAACAAAACATGATATTTTTGGTTAAATGTACATTCTGTGAGAGTAGAGTGGAGTAAGAGGTAGAGGGGAAAAGTAACATCATTTTTTTTACAATAATCATTGGAATGTTGCTATGTTGTTATTTCTATTGTATGGATGAAGAAACTAAGGTTGGGGAGTAAAAGCTACTTGCCCAATATAAGTGAAGTCCAGAGATCCCAATTCAGGTGTCATTTTTTGGACAAATTTCTTTCCAACTTCCTAACCTCTATGGTTTCTAGAAATGAGCCTCAATGCCTAAGAAGACTCTGAAAGTTACATTTGTAACTTATTACAACTCCCAACACCTCCCCTACTGAAGTAGGAAGGGATGGAGACTGGCCCTTTGGGCACATCCACCTGGAATCAGTTGAGGTTGGCTGGAGCCACTCTGCCTGCCAGTAGAATAGCTCAGGACAAAAGCCCAGGACCTTGGGGAATGCCTGCAAGTTCCTGGCTGGAGACAGACTCAGCAGAATTTTGGCCAGGCAAATCTGTAGCTATCTTCACTGGTGCCCTCAGATGCACAAGTTCATCTGCAGCCTAGGAATCACAGCCTGCAGTTACCTGTTGTGGGTCAGCACCTTAATTCAGTACATTGATGAAGCTGAAACAACCTCACCAAGATTATTATCCTCCTTTAGGGAGCAGCTGGCGCCTGGGAACACAAAGGTTCTTCAGAGATGACTCTATTAGGGTCATCTCTGAAGGACCACTCCAGCCCCAGAGCTCCCCTGGGATTGGCCCGGTCCTCTACTGCAAGGACAGCTGTGTTCACCTTCTACCTCTGCCAATTTGTTTCTCCCACTCCTGCAGCTGTTGCTCCCGAGAACACTCCCCAATAAGCTCCATCTCAGCACCTATTCCAGGGAAACTAGTCTGTCTCACACCGGTGATTAAATACTTCAGCCTTGAAGTGACACCTGTCGCTTTTGCTCACAGCTTATTGGCTAGAACTAGTCACACTTCCCCACGCTAACCACAAGGGGGCGGCAAGTGCAACCCTTCCCTGTGCCAGGAAGTGGGAAAAACTGGACCTAGTTGGTGAGCAGCAGTAAAAATGATGAAATAAGGAGACCATAGAAAGGTCCAGAAAAACTATAAAATCAATAATACTGCTTTTTACTTTGTACACGTGCATCCTTGGAAACACCCTACTCTTAGTAGCGCTTCCTGACTGAGTGTCTGCTTGTGGAAATGTAACTGGAACATCATCTTACTGCCACCATTACCCCTTATCATGGTTTATCATCTGCCAAGCTGCCCTCTGCTCTCTCTGTCTTTGTGCCTGCTGAACCTATGGGCTTGGCTCAGCTGGCCCCCGATTCTGCCCTGGAATGGAGAAAACTCAGGATATTTCACGATGCCTTGATTTGAAGCAGGTCTGACTCCAAAGAACCTTGTTTTATTCTTACTGGTGAGCAATGTGGGGATGGGTCTCCACACACATGGGTTCTAATCTGAGACAAGTGCAACATCTATCAAACACTGTGACTGCACTTCTTAGAGGCTCAGGGGCAATGCTACCTTGAAAAGAGGACAGTGGAAAGCTGGAAGAAGCATAAGTATTCACCTTTCCTGGGCTCTTCTGGGAGCTGTTTGGCCAACATTGCCATCTGTTGGGCTGGCACTGGCTAAAGCAGCTAGGTGGTCAGATGGCATTGCATCTTCATTAATGACCTTGGGCCACATGAGATGACCTTGTGATAGAACAGCTGACAATGAAATAATTTTTTTAAGGTGCATCAGTTTACATCTGTTGAGTGGTTATTTTGTTATTTAATCCTCATCACATCCTTATGAGTTCAGTATAATGTATATGTTTATTTAACCATTGGACAGACGCAGAGACAGTATGAGTAACTTATTAGTCAGTGGTATAACTACAGGTTAAGCTTAGGCAATGTGGCTCTAAAAATCTTTGTTCCACCCCACACTCACTACTTCTTGATTAAGTTTAGACATCTCTTTCACACAAACTAATGGTGGTCTCCATGTTCCAGGCCCTGTGCTAGATGCTAGGAATATAGCCCCATCCCCTGGATCATTAGGTAGTGTCCTGCTAGACTAGATAACACATAATACACTTATTCCATTATTTGGCATTAAGGGAAATTATGTCAGAATATATTTGTATAATAAGAACAATGTAGCTTATATATTTCTCTTATTGCTTTAGCCGCCAGGAAGCTCAGATCTAAATCAGAGCAAATTTATTAGAGTTTGGGTTTAGCATTTCAGTTTTCTGATTTCTTTCCTTCTGGCCCAGATTTTTTATATTGGTTGCATAAATTCTATTGCACAAATATCCTGTATTATAGAACACATTAAATCCTTTTTAGGAGGCTGCATGGAAATGACAATGTAAGGTCTTTATTGCATATTCTTAGATTCCTACTGGGAAAGACAAACCTAGATATCCCTCTTACCCTCATTTCCATACGACTCCATTTATAAAATCCCCTGAGACATGGCTACTACTGTTCTGAGTTTTGGGGGAATAGCTAGGAGCTTCCAAAAGATTATATCCATATAGAAAATAAAAAAGTTTCCTCACATCATGGTCCCAACTTTGGAGCCAGATGAATGTTTGTGGAGTAGGTGGCCAGTCAGATTCTCATCTGAGCAGTTAATAAAGTCTATTGCCCCTTGATGGATTTTTTTCTGCAAGCTAGAATTGATCTGTCCTCTTTGTGATTTGTGTGATGGCAGGGAAACACCAAACACCATCATGACTTGGACCACATGGGGAAAAAAAGAAAGAAAAAGAAAAGAAAAAAGAAAATCCATTGCCAGGTCTTTCCAGGCGTAGAAAGGGCTGGAACTGTTGGGGTAATTTTATTTGATTTATTGGAAATAAAGTGGATCTTATTAACATTTTAATAAAGAGAATCTTTTTGCACTGAGCTGTAAGTGGCCGCCAGTCCCGGGTGCAATTCCATTCTCTTCATAAGTGGAATCTGCTGGCGATGCCCAGCGTGATTTGTGAGGCTGGGCCCCAACAGTCCAAAAAAGCAAATGGGCTGCCTCCTTTGAGGGTCTCGCTTTGCGCGAGGTGCTCGCCCGGTATCTGCCATGCAAAACGAGGGAGCTTTATGAAGGAATCCGTCTTGTAAAGCCATTGGTCCTGGTCATCAGCCTCTACCCAATGCTTTCGTGATGCTGCCGCTGATCTATTTGGGAAGTTGGCTGGCTGGCGAGGCAGAGCCTCTCCTCAAAGCCTGGCTCCCACGGAAAATATGCTCAGTGCAGCCTCGTGCATGAATGAAAACGCCGCCGGGCTCTTCTAGTCGGGCAAAATGCAGCCGAGAACTCCGCTTGCCTTGTGTATTCTCCTGTCCCAGGTAGGGAAGAGGGGCTGCGGGGGCGCGCCCTGCGCCCTGGATCTGCATTCCGATTGCTTGATGCCGGCAGAGTGAGGGGGCTTTCGGGGCGCTAGGGGACTCCTGGAGCCCTGGCAAAGACAGCCCTGGGCTTGGAAGGGAGGTCATTCTTCCCAGCCCCAGAGATCGTAGGGCGTCCCGGTTACCCACTCCGCCGTGTGTGTGTGTGTGTGTGTGTGTGTGTGTGTGTGTGTGTGTGTTGTGTACGTGTGCGCGCTCGCTCGCGTGAAGGGGAGAAGGAGAGAGCTCCGGAGTCCTGAGTCCTTTATTTTGCCAGCCGGGGCGACATTCTCGCCTACATCAAGTGGCGTAACTTTGATTCGCCTTCTCCCGGAGGCTCGTGTATTGGAGAAAGACTCAGTTGGAAACGACTCCAAGGAGTCGTTATTTTACCAAGCTCAGCGCGGATCAGGGAAGCGCCGCTTGTGTCGGGATTGTGGGCTGCTCTGCGGCTGGAGAGGATGGCCTGGCATTGCTGACTTCCTGGGGCACCCGGGCCCCTTCACCCAGCCCGGCGGTGCGCGCTGGAAGGTGCCTTGGGCTAGCCTTGCGCAGCAGCGTCTGCTGCTGTCGCTCAAAGGCGCCTGTGGCAGTTGCTCCTGCTTGGGGGTCCTTTCCTTCCCCAACCTCAGGCCCGGAAAGACCGGAGTGTGTCCCCTCTCAGGGCACAGGCCCCAACCCCCTACGCTACACCCCATTTGTCCAGCTAACTGAAGCTTCAGCCCTGAGCCTTGGTTGCCGCCTCTGCTGCTTTCTTGGGCGGGCAGGCAGGCGGGCGCGGAACACAGAGAAAAGTTCAAGCCTTGCCCACCGGGCCGCAGCTGCCTGTTAACCCTCGGAGGGAAGGAGGGGAGCGCTGCGCTGTGAGGGAAGCGCCCTGAGATTCCTAAAAGGGGACGATGGAGACACGGTCCTCCAGCAACCACCTATGTATCTGAGAGATCTCTGGAAGTTTGTGTGTAGGAAAGCAGTACGCCGAGGTGCTGGAGGCTAAGGGGCACGCCCAGCACTGCTCAGGGACCAGTCCCCTAGGTCTCCCTGGCAGCCTAGAAGAGGAGGGAAGGAGACAAGGAGTGCCTTGGGGTGCTAGAAATGGGTGTTGAGTTTCTGGCCAGGATTCCTGGGTGCCAGGGGAAGAGGCACATGTATGAGTATGTAGGTGAGAGGGAGAGTGAGCAGCTAGGGTCCCAGGCAGGGGCAGGTTAGGGTGAGGAGATGCAGTACAGCCTTCTAAGGGGAGACCACTGCTGGGTCCAAGCTAGTGTTGACTTTGGAATTTGACCCATGTCCCATGGAGAGCACTCAGAGTGGGGGTGGCAGTGTGTGATAGTACTTGGAGCCTCCTTCCCCCACTCATACTCCCTTACTCAGTTGTACTCCTCTTCTACCAAGGTTTGCTGGTTGATTCTCTTAGGGTTTCTGTAGCCTTAAGTCCTGCCACAAATCCTATGCCTGTCTATGAGCCAGGTTTCCAGACTTTCTGGACTAATTATTCCCGAGGCTGTATGTAGGGATACGCAATCCCAATTCAGCAGGGTAGTGCAGAGAATGCTTCTGATTCAGACAGATCTGCTCTGCCATATGCTAGTGGAACCACTCTGGGCAAGTTGCTTAATCTCTCCGAGCTTCCAGATTCTCCACTGTAAAATAATCTTATCACCTTCATAGGCTTGCTAGGCAGATTGTATTGCATTGAAAAGGATGTCCCAGGTAACGCAATTACCATGAGGCCTGGCTCACAGGAAGCTGTCGGTGTCTGGGAGCACTTACCACTACCTTACCTAGGACTTCACAGTCTCTGTGGGCATGCTTTGCCCTCAGTTTGGATTCCAGGGCTTGCCCAAAGTTATGCCTCCTTTTGAACAAGACAGACCACAGCACCCAGCACTGGGGGCTTCTCACACTGCCTCCTTTTGAACAAGACAGACCACAGCACCCAGCAATCCTTATGCACTGGGGGCTTCTCACATGATGCCTTTTGCAAAGCAACTGGTGTGTCTCCTCAGCCAAGGCCCAGCTAGCACAGGTGGGTTCTGAAGACTCACAGTTCACTCCGTTCCTTTAAAATGAATTAAATTGCCTACCCTGAGAAGCATATTTCTCTTTTAGATTATTATGCATAACCAGAGCAAATGTCCACATTAGGTCAGTAATTGATATCCTGGTAGCAGTAGCACCTTGCAGAGAAATCATGCTGGCGCAATCCAGTTACCCAGCAAGAGGCTTGAGTGCAGAGCTCTTGAGGGCCATGGTGGGGAAAGTGGGGAAAGTCTTGGGGCCTTTGAGTCAACAAGAAAAAAAACAAAACTTTCCTGAGGCAGAGAAAAAACAGAAGAAAGGGAAAAACAATGTAATAAAGCAAATTAGTCACTCAGCCCTCATGGTGTTCAGGCAACTATGTGTGTGTTTTTCCACCTCAGTGGTAAGATGCTGGGTCCAGCTTTGGAAGATATCAGTCTCTGTAAGTTTATTGGCTAGGTTGCTCTTTTAGGCATTTGGGGGGGCGGGAGGGGCAGGGAGAGGAATTCTAACCAACAATGGCTGGGAACTGGCAAAGTTAAGGACAATCAGCTCTCTTTTCCCCTGGGTGTTTTGAGAAAGATTGTCCCAGAAGTGGCCTCTGGAATTTGGCTATAATAAATAATTTTAAAAAAGAGCAGCATGAGCTAGAAATTCCACTGTAAATATGATTCCCCCTCCCATATTTGGGTATCACAACTAGCCAAAAGTTCTAACAATAAATGAGTAATCCTCCAAGAATTAGGATTTTAGGGAGTGGTTCAGGTTGGAGAGCAGTCACTTAGGAGTGACTACAAATGTTCCACAGAATTCTGAGGTGCTGATTTTAAAATGGGAAGTCCTTTCTTGGAATCAGAATCTTGGCTTTTAGGATTTTGAGAATCAATGTCTTCTAGTGCCCCTTCAACTTCCTATATTATATTCTAAGGGCAGTGTTTTTTTGCAGAATCATTTTGATGAGGATAAAAGATTGAGAGTTGCAGAGAGTACTCCTGCCCTGAGAAGGGTTCAGCATGTAGCAGCCTATGAGACTTTAATAGCCCTGGGGAAACAGAGATATACATGGTGAAAGGAATTAAAGTGGTAGAGTTAATGTGTCTGAACAAATTTTTTAGCAAGTCCCCAAAGACATTTAATAAACTGCAAGGCTGAATATGTGATCTGGAATTTATGTAATGCCATAGTCTGTATTAAAAGCCTCAATAGTCATTTTAGCTAATCTCTCCTACTCTGTCTCCCCCCTTCTCCCCTTTTTTAAATTTTTAGCCCTTGGGTTTTCCATTAAACAAAATCTATTTCTAGAAGTATTCTGTATGTGTTAAAACTGCTGAACAAACCAATGTACCCAATAACTGCATTATCTGTAAGTACCAGCATTTAGATGTGTACATGGCGTCTCAGTCTGAAGTTCACTGTTTAGGTAAAAGTTCAGCTAGACTCTTGAGGATATCCCTCTTTCTTTCCCTCCTTTCAAAAAAAAACAAAAACAAAACAACAAAACAAAGCAAAAAAAAATAGTTCTTTGAGGAGTATAGCTAATTTCTATTTAGTGGGAAGTAAGGAAAAGGAGAGAAAAAACCACTATGGATTCAATTCATATATGAATGACATATCTAAATAGCCAATAATATGTCCTAATTATCTTTCTCTCTGTATGTGACTATGTGTGTGTGTGAGTGTCTATCTCTGAGTGTTTTTATCTTGTTTTAATATCTGTTGAAAAATTTCTCCAGAAGAGGGCTCCATCCACAGCATTACAAAATTCTGAATCTACAGCTCATATTTTAAAGAACTTCAGTATAGCAGCTCCATTAAAACCAAACTAGTTTCCTAGTTTCAATTATTTGCTACAATGAGAAGTCCTGTCCTTTTGCACGGAGTATCTTTCCTTGTTTTTTTTCCTTCCTGTGTGTGTGTGAGTGTCTATCTCTGAGTGTTTTTATCTTGTTTTAATATCTGTTGAAAAATTTCTCCAGAAGAGGGCTCCATCCACAGCATTACAAAATTCTGAATCTACAGCTCATATTTTAAAGAACTTCAGTATAGCAGCTCCATTAAAACCAAACTAGTTTCCTATTCCCAATTATTTGCTACAATGAGAAGTCCTGTCATTTTGCACTGAGTATCTTTCCTTGTTTTTTTTTCCTTCCTTTTTTTCCCTATTATAGTTGCTTCTGTTTTATTTTATTCTTCAACTATGTATCCCCTCTGAGTATTAGAGCAAGGAACATTTCAAAGACCTTTGTAGACAATGCAATATGAAATGCAAGGAAGTTCTGAAATTTCCTGGCATTTGACTACAGTTGGACCTAGCTTACTCTTCAGGCAGCCAAAAGGCAGCCACAGTTCTGCCTGTGAAAGGAGATAATCTGCCCCATTAGGTAACTACCCAGAAGAGTGAGTCATGAGCCAGATCCGCTCACCCTTCAACACCAGTTGAAAAAGAGAGGGAAATATCAATCTGTCATCCAATTACAATAATCAGTTGGACAGAATCAAATCAAGTGACCAGTGGTTTTGGCAATGTTTCCACTTAGCTGTCTGCAAGGTGCCCACACGCCTGGGAGGATCTGACCCTCCTGACAGATGCTGCCAATACAATTCCTCACAGCCTGTCTCCTCTGCAGCCACCCAGGGGATCCCGGGCCTGGATCCCCCTACCTGAGCAGACTGTACAAAGGATGACTAGCTGGACTGTAGGATCCCCTGCACCATCACCATACACTAAGTATTGGCTTTGTTTTTGGGTTAGGGTAGAAAACTACTTTCTCTATTGGGAGAAGCAGCTAAGAGCAGGCTAGGGAAGAAAGAAATGATCTTTCAAACTTGAAATGCAGACTGATCCAGGTTTCATGGAGGTGAATGGTCATCCTTTGGTTTAGCAGATTGAACCTTGCAGTATCAGTTTGATGGTGCTGAAGCCCATCCATCTCAGTTCTGCA